TGCAATCCTCCCACAGGCGCATTGGGATTTTAGCATTTTACTAGCATTGATGTATTATAAAATGAGGTCCAAGGTATCACTTTGGGATCTTACTATTTGTCTCCAAGGAATAAAACCATAACAAATTCATAAAGATTATACTATAACGAAAAATAACTACAATTTGAAAAATATACAAATAATAATTCCATAAACATAACCAAAATAGTCTTGTTCACTAACTTCCATGTTATAGATCGAGCAAAAAGTTTTTTTTTTTTGCTAGGAAGGGATGAAAATGTTTTCTTGTAGTGTGTAGGTTTGAGTAAGAATCTAACATCTTTTTTGACTCGAAATTTTGTGAAGAAAAAATATTTTCTGATGATTGGGATGAAATGAAAAATTATATTTCAAAGTTGATCAATCTTGATCTATGTGGTGAAAAATGTGTATTTAAATATATATTTTGTTTTGTTTTTCATCAAAGATGAACAAATATTTCATAGAATTTGGTGATAACTTATTTATCAGAACTTAACGGTGGTTAAGGTTAAAAATGTGATAGAGTTTCATCTTATGTTTCGGGAAAAGTCTTTCCTACCCTCTGTTACGGTTTTACGACGTAAAATATGTTTCGTAAAAAATATTGAAATTTTTTATTCGGTACGATTTTGATTTTGAAGAATCCAACGGAAACACCCACCACCACTAATTTTGACGGATAAAGTAGGGCTAAAAAGAATGCAAAAAATACCAAAATAAAAGGGTTGACACGTGAGCAATAGTGTATCTAAAGAGTTGTCGGCTCGGGACAACGTCTAATCCATCTAATGTATGCTTTGGGCCTTTTTATTACAAATATGCAATGGAACTTGGGCCTTATATTATATGTGTCTTCTTCACCTTGGAATATGTATTAAACTGGATCTGTCATCAACTAATATTTTTTTTAATTACAAAATTCATTGATCCCGACTTTGTGTAGGTAATCGCGAATAGCATTCTCCTTAGAACACAAGCTTGTGCAACGCAATAAAAGTACACAGCAACAGAAGAAGTACATGAAATCCACGTCATCATATTTTATTAATTAAACATGTACAAGATCATCGGAATAGATAATCAATTATTGCAGCCAGCCGCCACTCCTTTATTCATTATGCCAATACTATATGTGGAAAGTGGGAACTATATACGCGAATGGTTTCGAGTGAGGGATCAGTTAGTCAGGTAGAGAGGTTTGAAGTGCTTGAGGGACCAGGGTTCACCCCCGAGCGGTACAAAAACGAATGCCTCGTAGTTGTTGGTGGAGGAGGCGGCGGGTTCTTTGGCAGCCAAGGTGAGCCTGTAGTTCATGCCTGCTACGACCTGAGTGTCACCTTTAATCACTCTCTCGAACTTGAGACCGGACTTGCTCGTACGGTCGTGTTCATCCACCGCAAACTTTGCTATATCCACCACGTGCTTCTCGGTTACGTCTTCGATCGGCGTCCACCCTCCAAATTTATTGTTGCTGACAACACCCTCGGCCACGGCGGTGTAGGATGTCGGCTCGAAGCCGAACTTCTCCGAGTGGCCGTTCGCAGTTCCAGTAGTAGTTGTGCCCTTAACCTCCATGCACGTCTCGTCGAACGTCAGCATCTTCGGCACTCCCTCCGCATTCGCTCCCTACAAAAAGCTCATTTCTATCTCAGATCAAATGCATGCGGCGTTAGAACATGCAAGTACGTATATGACACGTGAAAGTGAAGAATTATAACTGCTCCAGAGAATCTGTCAGCTTTACTTGTGATATTATGACCAAAGGGCTTCAAATATATATATGTATAACGAGATGTGGCAAGAGCGAAGCCGGCGATCTTGGCGGCGTCGGAGCATTTTCCGGAGAAGTCACTGAGATCAGAATGGAGAGAGCAGGTGAGACGAGCAGAGGAAGATTCAAGGCCGAAGGACTTGGCGATGGAAGGTGGAAGGTGACGACCGTAGATGAACGCAGCGGGAAGGAGCGGCGGAGAGGAAAGCTGTAGTAGCTTGGAGAGAAGCTGCCATGGCGATAACTCCTTCTGTCTCGTGTTGACAGAAGTCGGGGACAGGCAAGGGTATAAATAGGAGGAAGGAGATAAGGTGTGCTTTTCTTTTATTGGTCTGCTTCGGAGGATCCTGACTTCTGGTTGGCTTCCGGGATACCCTATGCCTCGTCCCAGGTTTAACACGTGACGATATTTCTAAGCCGAAATATCGACACTGTCTCAATCAGAGATGATTACGTGGAAACGGAGCAGGCCGGTAATCTCATCACGTGTTAAACACGGTAAACCTTGGTCGAGATATAAGGTAACCTCCGAAGCCAACCCGATGATGACGTGGAAATTCAACAAAGATGTTAGGAAAAACTATATGTGCAGGTTTCGATACGTTTTTGTTTTTGGTAAGTGGTAAATCTAGGTTTCGATACGTTTGGGAAGGCAAACCAACAAATCTGGTCACAGCATGTTAACTAATGACATGTTTATGTGACCTTAAGGTGGCGTGAAATCTACTTGCAAAAATCAAGACACATTTCAGCGTGAATAAAAAAAGAAAATCGATTTCTTTAATTTACGCAACTCATTATTTCTACGTGAAAGCAGCAGCACTCATGCGGTCATGCTATACGGAAGATAGACATCTTAATAATCATATATGGGCCGTATTTCATAAAATATATAAATATATATACGGGCCGTCAATATTACCACACATTAAAGCCCAAAATAGATATGCATATGAATTCCTTTGCGATCCTCCCACAGGCGCATTGGGATTTTAGCATTTTACTAGCATTGGTGTATTATAAAATGAGCTCCAAGGTATAACTTTGGGATCTTACTATTTGTGTCTAAGGAATCAAACCATAACAAATTCATAAAGATTATACTATAACGAAAAATAACTACAATTTGAAAAATATACAAATAATAATTCCATAAACATAACCAAAATAGTATTGTTCATTAACTTCCATGTTATAGATCGAGCAAAAAGTTGTTTTTTCCTAGGAAGGGATGAAAACGTTTTCTTGTAGTGTGTAGGTTTGAGTAAGAATCTAACATCTTTTTAGACTCGAAATTTTGTGAAGAAAAAATATTTTCTGATGATTGGGATGAAATGAAAAATTGTATTTCAAAGTTGATCAATCTTGATCTATTTGTGGTGAAAAATGTGTATTTAAAGATATGTTTTATTTTGTTTTTCATCCAATAAAAGCAAATATTTCATAGAATTTGGTGATACCATAGAATTTGGCGATACCATATTTGTCAGAACCTTAATTGTGGTAATTAAGGTTAAAAATGTGATAAGAGTCTCATCCTATGTTTGAGAAAGTTTATTATACCCTCTGTTGCATTATTACATAGTAAAATATGGATAATGTAAAAGTTGATTTATGTTTGTTTTTATGTGGCTATTCTCGTTGAAATGTGAGTGAATCAATACTTATTTTATTTTGTAATGTGGAGAGATGACATTGTTATTTTTCAAAAAAAATTCTCAAACAACACATACGCTTTCTTACAATTTTTTTATTTATTCATTCACTCATTATAACAACATACATAAATACATACACGCATCTAAACCCTTCTTTGTCCTTTTCGTCTGTCTAGGCAACATTTGTCCGAGCCCAACAACTGAAGGCGTCTTTAGAGATATTGTTAAGAAACGAGGGCTTGATTCAAAATTTAAGATTGATTTCGTTGGAACCATTAATTATCACGAGGGAAATTTGGCAAATGCAAGGATGAGAAGTGTTGTTAAACGTCATGCGATTGACATAATGTCGATATCAAGACCGATAGAGGCATCTGATTTCGTGGAATTTGATTTTATCCTTGCAATGGACAAGCAAAACCAAGAGGACATATTGAGGGCTTTTGATGTGTGAAAAGTTAGCGCAAATCTCATTCAAATACAAAGGTTAAGCTAATGTGTTCTTATTGCAAGAAACATGACGAGACCGAAGTTCCCGACTTGTATTATAGTGGAGATCAAGGTTTCGAGAAAGTCCTAAACTTGTTTGAAGATACATATGAGTCATTGCTTGACAGTATCAGCGTAGAACGGTTCATGGCCATCCAATAGCATCAATCATCACATTTTATAAAAATTGGAAAGAGAGTAATTTTTTAATGAAGATATATAAAAAACATTATCTTATATCAAACACCACAAATATTACAAATACTTGATTACACAAAAAACTCTCTAAAATAAAATTTCTACCACCATCAATACATGTATTTAAAGACCAATTTATAACCGACATATAATGCAACAAAGCCTAAATACAAATATAAAAACTACATCTTCTTATCCTTAAAAAATTATAATATAAACGGATATAAACACAAGTCAAATCAAAATACTAACTTCAGCTTCCATCTTTTTCTTCCAAAAGATTTAAACCATAAAAAAAGTCCAACAAATACAAGACAAAGGTTGATCCAACCATTTTGTCTTTGGAAGTGGAATAAGTTTGTCCAAATCCAACTGTTATCGAGTTAATTTTTTCCTTCAAAATTTTGGTTTTTGTTCAATTTCTAAAAATAACAAAATTGATTTAAAAATTGTGTTTTTTAGTTCTTCATTACTAAAAAAAACAAACTTCAATGATGCAGTACACAAATAGTGCACAAGTTCTTTTTTATTTTTTGATCTTAATTTCCAAATTTTATATTTTCTTAAGTAATTATCTTGTAGAAACAATACGCAAGTCAGTTATTAGACTTAGAATATTCTATGGAAATTTTTGATGATATCCATAAGCAGAAGTACCTTGAAGCACTTATAATTTAAACTTTTTTAAATGTTTTTTTTTTGCAAATTTTTGTTTCTTAGTTTTATTAAAACTCATTATGTTTTGTATTGTATACTGTTGTTGATATATTATGCAATGGTTTGGATTTCGTTGCACTAAATGATAAAGAACGCCATCGAGAATTGGTTGATCTTTTACTTTGAAAAGATTTTCGATAAAAATATTTTGTTATCAGTTTGGTTTATGGTGAAGAATGTGTGTCTGAAGATGTGTTTTTACTTTGTTTTTCATCTAAGAAAAGCAAGCAGTACACCAAAATTTGTTGATTCTTTATCAATGAGAACATTAATAGTGGCTAAGGTTAAAAGTGTAGAGTCTGATTTTTTGTTTCATGATAAATTGATCTTACCCTCTGATGTGACATTAGATGCAAAATTTTAACCAGACGAAAGTTCATTTCTATAAGTGCTCATGCGGACTATCTTTTTTGAAATGTTACTGAATCATTGCTTATTTGTTTTGTAATGTCGAGAGACAACACAAACCAATGTTTGGTCCAGTAGTTGAGTTTTTGATACTAGAACAAGTTTGTCCTTAGCCAACTGTTGTCAAAGTAACTTTTTTTAGGGTTTTATATTGATTCTTTATGCATATAGATCTAAAATTGCTTATCAAGTATTTTTTGTTAATTATGGATTGATTTTAAACTATTGAACATAAAAATTTACAAATGTAAGAACTCTTTCTTTTTAAACAATCTTATTTTATATTTCTTTGAAGAGAATGCATTTGAACTCTCTTGATAGGTCAGGAGGAAAAGGTCATGGAATTTTTTGAGAAAGACCTAATTAAAAATGAATCGAATTATTGATTGTATCATAAAGACCCTTATGCCCCTTTCGACTCAAAAAGTGAAATTTTACTCGATTTCTATCCTTTTAAAATTTTAATTGTGATTTTTTCTATTGGTTTTGGTGAATCATAGTTTGGACAGTTTTTCTTAGAAACATCCTTAGACAGTCTTCCTTAGAAACATCTTTTGTTTTCACTATACTCTTGTTTTGCTTTTTTTTTTCTATGATAGAGTTAGATAAATTTTTGTATAAGTGTCCTTTTTGTCAAATTTACCTTACTCTTTTGTACTCATAAAGATTATGACAAAAATATTAATGGAAAATGTGATATTTTGCAATTAGCCAAAATATAAGAACATGTGCATTTTTGGTTGCTTTTGATTTTTTTTTTTTATAACTCGAATGTTTATCGGGTCTTTAGTCTGACCGAAAAATTTCGGGTGAATCCATCTTCCACATTTGGATTTGAACCAGAATAAAAACATATTTTGCATGTTTTCTAACCGTTAAACTACTCAATCTTAGAAATTGTTTCTGAATATTTAAATATCATTGTTGGAATTATTGGTATTAGAAACCAAATGTATTATTGAGTAAATTACTAGGTACAAATCTTGTGCGTAAATTGTTTATGCCAAAAGATAAAAATAATAATAATAGAAAAGTTAATCTTAAGCATGAATAATACCAAACCTAGGAAATATCATTTATGAGGAATATGAAATTTCAAATCTCCTAGCCTAACTTCAATTTAGTTGTTGTTGGCAGAGTGAAACATACGTCTTGATGGAAAATACATCCATTTTTTGCCACCAAAATTCCAAGTGCTGACCAAATTAAATCCCAATGGGTTTGGTTCTCTTCCAACGCGTCGTTTGCAGTTTCGCATTGACTTATAGATTAAGGAAACATTTGGCTTTCTTTGACTAACCATTTGGCTGCTAACTTGTACTGTATCAGTATACATATATAGTATTAATAAAGATGTTTCATACGTTTTATCTAAACATAGATTCAATCTCCAAATGTAAATTAGATGCATGACCATGACAGTCAAATATAAAGAATAACTTTTTTTTATGATGTCTCATCAGGATATCCAATATTAATCAATTGTTCATGTGGCTTTCAAGATGCTATGAGTAATTGCTAGCTTTGATTTTAAGAATATTTGCGTCCAAGATGATATCAAATTAATTTTTATTTAAATGAAAAAAATATGTCATTCCAACCGAGTAATTTCTAATCATCTAATCATCTGGACGAATGAACTTCGTGATTTAATCATATTCCCTTCACACTTGAATGCCTTTTATAACACACACACACACACATAGCCACATGCAAAGGCTCTCTTAAGACAGGCCAGGGCTTGTGTCGGTGACAGAGTGTGAAAGAAGATAGATTAGGAAAATCTACACGGTTGAAAAAGCTTGTAAGACGTTGACCCAAATCTACTTAGATGTTGACACGTGTTCTACTATATTCACTTTCACACTTTCGATATTGAGGAGAGATTTATGGGGCATTTTGTCCGCTGTTTTCTCCGACTAATCAATAATTTTCACCCAATCAATGATTTCGCATGCGTTTTTAGCTCTATTCTTTTTAAAATAAAAACGAATTGCGCATATGCTTAGGATAGTAGCGAGGTGATGAAATAGACTTCGGCTTCAATAACCCAATTTAAAGACACATTAAATTTTGCTTTTGTTTGTAAATGTTTTTTCGTGGGCGACGCAACACGTGAGACGCACGTGGCGCGTTGTCATTCGAGCTCTTTAATCTCTGGTTAGCAGTAGCACAGTGATTAACTGAAAACACGGCACATCGTCCGTTATTGTTAGTTGCAAAACCCACTTTTCCCTCGTCCAAAGACGACATGATAAGGATACTTTTTTCACTTGGTCCAGGATTAGACATATGGTGGGACCTACATTGGGATTAAGTGGCACGTTAGGGCATGTGTTCCC